AGGGAGCCCGATGCGGGACTCGATCCCAGGACTCCAGGATCATGACCTGAGCCGAAGGCAGTCGCCTAACCAACTGAGCCACCCAGGCGCCCTGAGCACATGTATTTTTAAAAGAGACTATCGTACGGATCTTTACAAATAAAATTAATAAACAGTACAAGCACTCTTTGAGGTTTTCATGTGTAATGAAAGAAGGAATTACTGAAGCTGTGTTATATAAGTTCACACATTGGAAATTTTCATACCCAAAATATTAACAGGATCAGTTTTTAATTTCTTTAGATTTAGAATATTTTAATTAACTGGAAAAGAAAAAAAATTATTGAAGGAACATGTTATAAGTTGAACTATACCTAAAGTTTAATAGAAAAATCTCTTTTGGTAACTTTAGATACTGGCACTGAGGGCATATTATGTACATCTTTTTCCTAGTGTTTTTGGTAATGAGTCGGAGTGGCTAAACGGCAGTCATCACCCAGCACGCTGGGGTTTCAATAACAAAGAAAGCGAGGCCAGTTCCTAGATTAGGACTTTGTAAATCGGTGGTTCTGAAAGTGCAGGGCCATTGCTGCACTTGCCACTTCTTGTTAATGTGATTTTTGTTTTGTCTGTTATTTGCATGTATGAAAACCTTATTTTTAAAGTAGTTGCAATAAATGTAATTGTTTTTTCAGCTTAATGCATCTTTTAATACCAACCCTTTTTCACATGAAATACCCTGTTGAATCATCAAAATCAGCTTCTCCGTTTAATCTTGCTGAGAAACCAAAGACCGTGCAGCTGCTTTTGGACTTCATGCTAGATGTCCTTCTGATGCCTTATGGGTAGGTTCAAAATAAAACCCAGCGACCTTGTCGGTGACTGCTTTCACTGTGTGGGGTTAAATACTATTTTAAATGATTCAGCTTTCACTTGAAAATGGATGTGTCTCAGATTTTCATTTCTGCTGCAGGCCCGACCTCTTCTAAACCCCAGCCCCACTGCTTGTTGACCTTACAGATGTGGAGCTCCTGTCACGGTTTCAGACTCAGCCTGTCCCAGCTGAAATCAGTTTTTCCCCATAAAATAGTTCTTTTCTTTAACTGCTGTCGGTGCTGTGATGGTTCTCTTAGCCATGTCTGTGTACAGCTATAAATTGCCTGCAGCTTTCCTTTTCCTTGTTGCTAATGCCAGTCCCATAGTAGCCCCTCTCTGCTCCCTGTCTCGTCCTGGAACCACGCTGTCTGCTGCGGGCTGGTCTCATCTCTGCTCAGCTCTCGTCATGACTTTCTCTCCAGCTGTTCTTCTCCAAAACTTTCTACACTGCCAGAGGGATCCCTGATTTTTATTGTTTTATTTTTTATTTTTTGTAAAGATTATTTATTTGAGAGAGAGGGCACGTGTGCCCACTCGTGCTTGAGTGGGGGAGGGGCAGAGCACGGGCAGAGGGACAGAATCCTCTCCGGGGTGGGGATGGGGGGGCTCGATCTCATGACCCTGAGATCATGTCCAGAGCCAAAATCAAGAGTCGGCTGCTTAACTGACTGAGCCACTGAGGCGCTCCAGGGATCCCTGATTTTTAAAATGTAGATCTTACCAGATCCCCCTTAAAATCCTTGGGGCATTATTTTCCAGTCGTTACATACACTTAGGCAGTTCATGCACTCTTACATCCTTGCCTTTCGTGTTTTAAGAGAATACAGTTCTCTCTGCTTAGAATGCCTGCCCAACAGAAGAGAAGGGGAGAAAGAAAGAAAACAACAGCCAAAACAACTGCTTTGAAAAAGTATCTCAGACTAGCTTTAAGAGGTCAGCTGTGTGTGTCTCTGACACAAATTTTTTGCCTTGGGCAGAGGACACTATTTTCCGGATCCTTATTACACTAACCATCCATGTGTATTGCCACTTCGTGTTTTCATTGTACTGCTGACGTGTCCAGCTTCCCTAATAGATTGGGGCCTCCTTGAAGTCAAGGGCTGTTTTAGCTAGCTCTGGTCCCTTGCTCAGTGGCCCAGGTTGTGATCTGCTTCTAGGCTACTTACTTTCTAGGTTGTCCTCCTGCCAGAGATATTTATCTAAAATGCTGCTTTCATTATGTTTCTTCCCTGACCAAAGGGGTAATGTGTACTATAATCTTAGCCTGTGGAGCCTCCTGTCCTCTGTCCCCCGATCCAGACACAAGAGGGTTCATGCTGTACAATTTTTTCCCTTTCCTGTTTGCCCCCCCTCCGGCCCCTCTAGTTTGGTGGCTTTATTTTCCAGACCTTGAAACGCTTCCACTACCTCTACCTGTTCACTTCTAGTACATGTCCTGTCATTGCTTATTTCTCAGTGGTTTCTTTGTCATGTGATAACATGTCAAATGCTCTCATATGTGCTGTTATTATCTCAACCTGCTCCAGATCTTACACTTCCTGGTATTCTTCTGTCTTGTGCTCAAGATGGTGTTTTGCATAATGTTAGCTGTTCAGTAATTACTGATTCATTTACTTACTGCCACTAGTCTTGCTTTAACTTAGAAATAAATGAAAACCTCCTTTTTATAGTTGTTGAATCAGGAGGCAGCCAGAATTGGCAGGTGATGATGGCTTTGGTAAATAAACTTTGAAATCCAAATTTAACTTAGGCACATAACGTCCTCAATCCAGTTTTTCTTACCAAATCCAAATTTAACTTAGGCACATAATGTACTCAATCCAGTTTTTCTTACCAGTGGGAATTTGCCTTATTTTTATAAAAGTATTAAAGTGATTTCTTAATAGGTTTTTTTTAATAGATGGATTTAAGATTAAATGGATATAGCATATAAGTAATGTGGAATAATTTACTGTACTATCAGGATCTAAGTGTTATTTTTAATTTTTATTATAATGGGTATTTCATTTTAATATCCAGTCTGATGATTCATCAGCATAGAATTTTAGAGTTTGAAGGGACTTGAATTAAATTTTTTTTTCAAAATTTTCATTTTGTAGATGAGAAATACCAGTTTACTGGATCAAAACGAATTTATCAGAAATCTTATTTTTAATCTGTAGAAGCTAAAAATGAAAATAGGGTGGTAAATTAATAAATAAGTAGCTACAGAGGGCTTTGAACATATAGTGGGAAAAGCTAATTGTTACGACTTTTCCTCTGGGTTTTTTTTCCTTTTTGGGGTGTTATGTGCTTGTGTGGTAAGTGGTTTGGAGGTTTCAGTGGGTTTTCTAATGGGATATAGGAATTAAAGGTGAATTGCCAGTTAGCAGAAATGGGAATGACTGTAAAAATGTTCTGTGCTTTGGATATAGAATAATGTTTCTTTTTTTTTAACCCTTCTTACAAACAACTGTTCTTTCTCTGTATTTGTCAACCTGAAACTCAAAATGTAGTAGGTCCATAGTGGCTCTTAGAGAGTTATTTATAGATTGAGAGCAAAATATTTATATTCATTGTTGGTAACTGTAATAGTTTATTTGTAACTAAGCTGAACAGATGGACTTACGGTTAATCTGCTAAAGATGTAAATACCCTTTTTTAGATACCTTCAGAATTTTTCTTTATGATGAAATTTTACTTTCAAGTATTCTAGAAAAAATCTCTCGGAGAAAAGTATAAAATTGAATGTATTAAATGTGCACATATATGTTTATGTATGTGTTTTAATAGGGAGGTTACATTTCTCTTTCCTTTTCAGATATGTGTTAAATGAATCCCAGAGTCGCCAAAATTCATCTTCAGGACAGGGTTCTTCTTCAAATAGTGGGGGAGGTTCTGGAATACCCCAGCCTCCCCCAGGAATGAGTTTTTATGCAGCTAAGCGAGTTATTGGTGATAACCCGTGGACACCTGAACAGTTGGAACAGGTATCACTGCTTGTTCATAATGGAGCCTGCCCCAGTGCGCTGGCCCCGGGGGGCCCCCCCGGGAGCAGGTCTGCCGTAGTTCTCATGTGCTCAGTCTCTCTAGTGAAACAGCTTTGCAACCCCTGCCTGACCTCGAGTGCTGTCTTCATCGTGGCAGTTATGTGTTAAAGCCCCAGGGGAAGGGAAGGGGCGGGCAGTGCTCTTCAGTGCTCTTCCTTGCGTCCACAGCTCAAGGGTGAAATCCAGCCCCCTCAGAAATGGACTATGTTTAACTTCGCTCATTTTAGCTTTTAACTGTAGGTTTAATAATCATCTAGCTGTTTTGGTGCAGTTAAGATACAGTTTATCTTGGGTTATTCAGCTTTTTAGGGCTGTACATTTTGTGTAAAGTGAGGAACTCCTATACTCATATGTGACAATATGGGGGAAAAGCATGACTCCCTTTGATATTTCTTGCTGGGAATTTCAAAATTGGCATTAAGCATTTTATTCTGGATTTAAACAGGACACAGCTGTTCTCTGAGCAGCTTTTAAAAAAGACTGGTGCTCTGCATAGAAGTTGCCTCACTGTGTCTGTGTCATCAGGCACCTCAGGGAAGAACAGATGAGATCAGTATGTAATTATTTTGGAATTCAAGCAACATGGGTTAGTCTTCCAGTCCTTCCTTTCTCTCTCCATGGCAGTCTAAATGATTTGATATTTTTTCTTTTTGAAAAAAAGCAGTGTTTTTTTGGATCAAAAAGCAGTGTTCCCCAGGAGAGGGAAAAAGGCAAGTGGGGGATTGCTTCCACTCGCAAATTCATAGAATGACTTGTTCAGCGAGGGTTACATTTGATTAGATTTACTTCATGTTTCAAAGGTCTTTTTTTCCCCTTCTCAAACCATGATGTAAGTAAGAAAGAAAGGTAAATAGTAGTAGCAGCTCCTCTTTTTTGGGTGGGAGCGATGTGACGGGTACTCTCCTGAGCACTTTGAATACCTTGTGTCATTTAATCCTTACGTCAACCCGAGGAGGTAGAGAAATCATTTCATTTTGTAAAAGGAATTGAGGTTTTGAGATGTACCTTGGTCTTACTCCTATTACTAGGCTTTGAATCTAGGCCCCTCTGAGGGCTCAGGCTCCAAGTGCTGGAGAATAATCGTTAACATTAAATTGTAATCTTGTGTTGATAATTATTTGCTAATTTTTAAGGTCCTCTCCATGTTTTTTGTCAATTTTATAATCTAGTGAATCTAAATGAACCATTTAGTTTCAAGGATGAAATAAAATTTTTTTTATTTAAATAAAAATGGTTTTTATTTTTTCTAATGATAACATTATGATAATGTAAAGATTCAAGTAGTACAGAACATTATAAAGAGAAGTTAAAAATGACCTGAAATCCTAGTTTGTCCTTCATCTACAGCCTACTCTATGTGTGTATGTTTGTGTGTGTATATATATATAAATACAGTTTTATACAATACATTTTTATATATTATATATTACATTTACATACATTTACATATAATACAGTATTTGTGGTTTACTTTTTTCATTTAACAGTATAGAAAGTTTTTTTAAAAAGTCATCTTTTTATATGTTTATATAAAATTATGTGTAAACCACGTAAGATTTTAACTAGTTTCCTATTGATGGACATTAGTATTATTTTCAGTTTTCTTTGCACATTTTTTTGTTTATATCTTTGTGTAGTTAATTTCCATTAACTGTTCTTCTGTGGCTTAAGTAAATGAGTCTTTTCTCTTGTGGCTCTTGCCACAAGTAAGTTGTTTTGAACAAGGGGAGGGAAGGCAAGCATTTTATGATCTGTTTATATACCTTTTTAAATTGCATGTTATTATTTAATAATTATAAACTCTCTTAATCTTGATTCATACACATAAGAACTGGTATATAACTGATTTTTAAAGGTAAAGATAGTTTTCAGGCATATTTGTCCTAAATAGAATTGTTTGTTTTGAAATTCATAGCTCCTTCACATTGCATGAAGTTCTAATTAGAATCCTTCTTTGATCTGTGTTTTATTTTAGCCATTCAATTAGATTGAATACTGTTTGGTTAAAATTTCACTTGCCTTGACTAGAGTGTGTTTGAAATCCTATTGTTTTCAGTCTAAGAATATTGAGGACAGAATGAATGTGTTAACAATAGAGTGGAACTCTATGGAATGTGGTTTAGTTCTTTTTGAACTGTCAGAACAATCCGTTGAGCCCTCTATTTATAATGTACCAATCTCTTACCTGTAGGCTCCAAATTTGGACTTCAGTTCAAGGCTTTATCATTCTAGAGAGACTGTAACCTGAGTAGGAAGGCTGTGTATCATGATGGTCTTCGATTTGGAGAAACTTTGGTTTGAATCTTGTTTTCATCACTTAATATGTACCTTAATCTCTTAAGCCTTGCCTCAGTTTCCTCATCAGAAAAATGAGTATAATATTACTTATGTCATAGATAGTGAGGGTTAAATGAAGTCATGAATATATGTTATATACAGTTCCCTGGCACATTGTAAGCCCAAACAGGAGCTGCCACTGCTGTTACTATTAATTTTTGGTTGGTAGTATTTGTTTCTTTGATCACCGTTTTTCCCTCCCTTCATTTATCTGCAGTGCAAATTGGGTATAGTGAAATTCATAGAAGCTGAACAGGTGCCTGAACTCGAAGCTGTTCTCCACTTGGTGATTGCTTCTAGTGACACACGCCACAGCGTAGCGACAGCAGCGGACCTAGAATTGAAAAGCAAGCAAAGGTAAACTGCCTCCCTTTCCACCTTGAAAAAATGAAAAGAGGCCATATTTCTAAAAGCTCACTCAGCACATATTTATTCTTCCAGGATTTTCTATAATGAGACATTCAATTTAGGAGATTATGAAATATACCTAATTTGTAATAAAGACAGTTTGCTTAGGAGCAGCATTCTGTATAAGACAAAGAAGAAAAGCTGTTTGGAAAAGCAGTTTAAAACTGGAATGCATTAGAGATATTACCATGAGAAGTGAGACCTTTGTCGTCTAGGTAAAAGGACTTAAAGAATTGATGTTAAGAAGAATGTCAGAACCCAGAAGTTATTCATTTTTGATTCTTCCTCTGTGTCAAACCATTTGAGATGGCTTTTAATAAAGGATATGTAGGTATTATGATAAATACAGTAAAAAACAGGTCCCATAAAAGAGGTGCTGAATAGATCTTAATTCACACAGGAGGAAATACAAATAGTAATAGGCTCAAAGAAAATGTTTTGTGTGAGAAATCACATCAATGCAAAATGAAACGCTGGTGTACCAGTTTGTACCCATTGGTAAATAAAATTATGTAACAGTTGAAACTCCATTTAAGTTTCTGTTGAAACTGCTGTTTTTATATTCTGTTGATTGGCATTATAAACCGAAATAATTTTTGGAAAGCACTTTGCAGTATGTAATGAATCATAAAAATATTTATAATGTTTTATGTAAATCTTCTGGGAATTTATCCTAAGAGAGTCATTCAGAAGAAGAAAAAGATTATATTTAGAAAAATGTTATAGATTTGCCCATTATACCATTTCCTATAATTTTAAGAAAAATGGAAACATTCAAATTTCTACTATAGGGAAGTAGTTAAGTAAATTAACTGTGTGTCTCTGTATGGAATATTATAGATCTTCCCAAATAATTATGAAAGTAATAAAGCAATGTGTAAATTGTCCACAAGTAATGGCAAATGAATACAGCGGAATACAAAATAATATGTGTACTGATTTAAAACAGGAGATGTGGGGAGACTGGAAAAACAACGGGAGAAATTGAAGTTACTTGGTTGAAAACTATCACGATTATGGAAGAGTTATGTTCTTCATTTGTTTTAATGCTTAATGTAATAGCATGCTAAAAGGCAGTGGAGTGCATATATTGTAGTTTTTCCACTTCAGAGAAAGTGATATAAGCAGGTGTAACCGCGTAAGGAAGGTAACTTCGTTGTGTCTTCGGTTACGTGTCCGTAAGCAGACTGCACGTGTGGGGGCGGTTAGGAGCGGTGTACCCCTCCACAGCAGGTGAGGCAGCCTAGGGGAGGAGCGCGTTGTCAGGGAGTTAATTCTAGTCATGCCTCTTGCTGATGGAGCAGGAAAGACTCTTGTAACCTGCCAGGCCTTGGACTCTGTGGAATAAGGAAGCTGGACTAGACTGTACATTAACACCGCCCCCCCCAGTCTAAAATTCCTTCATGCTGCTTATAACTGTATCCTCCTGGTATCCCTTTCAAAGAATTTATTTGGTTTCGAAGTATCAAAAAATCTTCCTTTAAAACTTCTCATTGTGTTTGAGCTGGCCCCATTCTTTACACCATGTAGTGGATTGGATTGTTAGAAATGTAAATATGGTGCAGAAGTATTCTAGTTCGTTTCGATTTTGTCTGTTAAAACAAGTGTGCATTTTTTTCATAAGAGGAGTTTAACATTGTTAAGAGGTAAAAAGTAAGTTGAGAACGGTATGTAGATATTTTCCCATTTTGTTAAAAGAAAAATCCTGAAGTATCTCTTCAAGTGATGCATCTCTCTTTTGATCTGTTTCTTTACCTACCCACCTGCTATACCATCCACCGGTTTTACGTGCATAAGAAAGAAGTCTAGAAAAAGATACACCAAAGTTAGTGGTTACTGAAAAGGAGTAGAGAGGGATATGGTATACAGATTATAAGTTTCTGTACATTTCTGAATTTTCACAACAAACATGTAATAAAAAAACCTAGAAAGATGGCAAGGGGAAAAGTAGAGGAAACAGTGAAAATTTTTAGTTTTTAGTTTGTTTTTACCATTAAGCTTTACTAAAGTGTGTACATGTTGTCAAAAATCTGTACACCTGATGTATTTATAGAAGGGAGACAAAGGTGGGGCTTGAGGATTAGTAGCAGTCATCTGAGGAGAGTGTAGGTGAATAAAAACTAAAATGGAATGGTGGAACATCTTCGAGGATGGAGGTATTGTGGAATTGTGGCTATCAGAGGAAGAGGCAGATGGATGAACTGTGAAAGAAGAGACGGATTAGAAAACCTGTCAGAGCAGCATAAGAAATTGTGTTTGCACAGATTAGAACATAGCTTGGAAGCAGAACCAATGTCAAAAGGCAGAGAGAAGATAGTACGGTTAAATCTCACTGATGAAGTGAAACACAGGATTGCAGTACCGCTAGGTTTGTAACATGACTGGGAGGGGCTGCTGTAGGGGGTGGGTGTTGTAGGATACAGTGTTGTATTCTCATTCACCTGACAGTGGGGCCCGAGTAGGAGCAAGTCAGGGACTAATGGCAGCATGCCTGCTATTAGGATTAGGTGATGAAGCTGCAAATATGTGCTGGCAGAGAAGGAAGAGCGGGAGGCTGGGGGTCCTGGTAACACAATATAAGAGAAATGGGAGGGGCTGCCAGCTTCTTAGGGTTGGGGCTTTAACGGATAATTTTTTTATTTTTGGGTCACTTTCCTTATCACTTTTGGGTTTCCAGGTAGTTCAGCAGAAGAATGATGCTTGCCTCAGTTCTCTTTGAACAAGTGTACTATAGCTCTGCTCTGTTGGAACTGCTCCGTGGCGTTGGCCTTGAGAGTGAAATACAGTCCATTTTTCTTGTGTGGATGTCCATTTGGGCCGTGGATGTAATGAGCTATTGAATCAGGGTGGGACAAGTGACTTCCTGGATTTCTGTTTAGAAATTAACGTTGATCTAAATTAATCCCTTTCCTTCTCTTTTACAAGTCAGTTGCTCAGTTCATTTGTGTATTTCTGACATTTTCCTTTGGTAACGAATATTGGGGCTATGTATTTTTTGAAATCATTGAAGTGGGACCAAAAAAATAATTTTAACAAGCTGTGTTGAAACCTTCTGTAGCTTGATTGACTGGAATAATCCTGCCATCATTAATAAGATGTACAAGGTATACCTTGGAGATATACCACTGAAGACAAAAGAGGTAGGTTGTTTTGGTTTATTCTGACATCATCATAAAAAGCATTTGGTTGACATGAGCTCCATATATTTGAACTTTTTCTCCTAGTTTTTTTTTTTTTTTTTTTAGATTTTTTTTTTTTTTTTTTGACAGAGAGAGGGAACACAAGCAGGGGGAGTGGGAGAGGGAGAAGCAGGCTTCCCACGGAGCAGGGAGCCCGATGCGGGGCTTGATCCCAGGACCCTGGGATCATGACCTGAGCCGAAGGCAGACGCTTAACGACCGAGCCACCCAGGCGCCCCTCTCCTAGTTATTTTGACTTAAGCTGAATTTATCCTGGAGGAAATACTAGTTTTAAGCCATGTTGTCTGGGTGGATTAAGATTTCCTGGTAACTTAGTTTATTTGAGCTGGTCGTTTCAATTCCTATACTTAAATAATGATGATACAATCTCTGGATTAGGGATCCGCACACTTTTTCTGTCAGTTTTTTAGGCTTTGCTGGCCATGTGGTTGTGGGGCAACAACTATTCAACTCTGCCCTAACATGAAAGCAGTTGTAGGCAACACACGAAGGAGCATGGCTGGATGCCAATGTAACTTCATGGCTACTGAAATTTGAGTTTCATATAATATTCACATATTCTGAAGTACTAGTCTTTTGATTTTTAAAAAATCATTTGAAAACATAAGCACTATTCTTAACTCATAGGCTTTATCAAGAAAGATGGTGGGCCAGATTTGGCCCATTGGCTCATTTGTTGACCTCTGGTCTAAAATCTAGGACCATGGATGGGTTCTTCTGAAGCCTCCAAGTAAGGTGTTTGCTTAATAAGCTAAATTCTGTTCAGTTCACTGTGTTTAAAAGTGTTCTCAAGTTCAAATCCAGACATACAAGGATTATTTGCTTGCTTGCTTTTTAAACCATAAATAGTTGTTTTAAAAATCATAATCCCCCCCCCCAATCATACTATTTCCAATTAGATTAAATTGAGTGTGATGTGGCAGAAAGAACAATGAATTGGGAATTGGGAGCCTCCCCCTTGGGTTCTAGTCCTGAATGGCTGCACACAAATGAACTGGGGAAGAGAGTGAAATACAGTCCATTTTTCTTGGGTGGGTGTCCAGTTGGGCCGTGGATGTAATGAGCTATTGGTAACGAATAGCTAATCACGGGGCTTTTCTTGGCCTCATATTCTTCGTGGAGAAAGTGAAAGGGTTGGATTAGATCAGTGCTTCTTCACCCCTGTCGGGTCATAGGGAGATTTTTTTTGATCGTGTTCATGTTTGCACTGACGGTGTGCTGACAGTGGTGGGTGTAACTGCTGGGGGCCTAGCACGAACCAAAACTGTGTCCCTAAATAGTACTAGTAGTTATTGTGTTCTTAACTGTCAGCACTCATGGTAAAAAAAAAAAGAGAGAGAATAAAACCCAGCTTTACTTAAGAATATCTTTGATGAGGTGCCTGGGTGGTTCAGTTGAGCAGCTGACACTTGGTTTCTGCTTGGGTCGTGATCTCAGGGTCGTGGGATTGAGCCCCGTGTCAGGCTCCGTGCTCAGTGTGGAGTCTGCTTCATATTCTCTCTCCCTCTCTCGCTGCGCCTCCTCCTCATGCATACTTTCTCTCTCCCTCTCTCTAAAATAAATAAATAAAAAAATAGGAAAAAATATCTTTGATGAAGCAGTAAAAATTATTTTACCTGTAGACTGGGAAACTGGATATCGAGATGGTATTTGGCAGATATGTTCTCTAAAATGAAGAAATGAGGCTTCAAGAAAAACAATTCGCGAGGTTTATTGGCAGTGGTAAAAGTTGGACTTTCAAGCAAAAATTACAATTTAGGGAAACTTGTATCCATCACCGCGAGCCTGACATTTTGTCAGTACCTACAGATTTTTCTGACTAGATTGGTGGTGATAATAACATGTGATTTAAAAAAATGTTTTATAATGAAATGTTTGCTTAACTCATGAGCCAGTACTTTCCAAATGGCCAGTGATGTTACAGAAGCATTACGAGGGTAAGGGGGCCATTCAGTGGGCAACACAGATCAGTGGAATTTAGTATAACAGAGTATACAAAAGTTCAGTGATAAGGTTTCAAATCCAAATTGTAACTAGCCTTTAAGAAACTATTGTTTATTAAGTTTTGCTGTAGTATCAAAGAATATCTGGAATTACCTGAAAAGGCTGAAATCATCCCCACTTTTCCAAACACATATCTTTATGAAACTGGGTTTTGTTTTGTTCTTTTGGCCACACCCAGTGCCAGTTGTTGTTTTTTTTTTTAATGTAATTTAACCAGAACAACATACCAGAACAGATTGAAGGCAGAAGATAAAAGAATCCAACTCTCTTCTGTCAAGGTGGACAATTAAGATACTTAGAGAAAACGTGAAACAGTGCCACTCAGTACAGTTTTTTGTTTGGGAAAATATAGTTAATCTTCTTAAAAATATGTTATTTATGAGAATGTATAATGGATTTATTATTATAATTTTAAATGAATATTTAAAAATTTCTCAGTTTTAATTTCTAATTTAGCAAATATTGATAGGTATTCCAGTATAGCAAAAGCTCTTTGGAGTGTTCAGTAGTTTGTAAGAGTGTAAAGGAATCTTGAAACAAAAGATTGAGAGACCACTGATTTTATGATGTCTCATGACTGTTTTCAGTGAATAGTAATTTTGAACTGCTGAGTTATAATTAAACATATTTTTAACAGGGAGCAGTTCTGAAACCAGAGCTGAAGAGGGACCCCGTCAGTACAAGGGTTAAGTTAAAGATTGTCCCCCATCTCCTTCGTTCTAGACAAGCTGCAGAAACGTTCCCAGCTAACATCCAGGTAATTCATTCTTTCCAGAGAAAAATGGCCTGTTTACAACTTTTATGTCTGTCTAATTACAGAAAGAACTGCATTAACGCATATTCGGGAGGTATGTTGATGTACGTAACAAGTCTAATGAGATTCCATCTTTTTTTTTTCTATCTCAGGTTTAGCTGCAGACATGGTTAAAAATTTTTTGTTATAGAGTACATACTGTATATAGTTAACACTCAAATGTATGGTGACTGTCCTTTCAAACTAGTGCTTTTCTGGGCGGCTTTTCTCCAAAAATGTTTGTCTTAGGCAACCAAGTTTCTGGTGGTCAGTTAAGTGGAAAAATTCAGTTATCAAGCGTCATCCTTAACTGAACCCCTGCGTAACAGCAGTGGCCATATTCTCTTGATTCTGCCTCCTTAATAGCTTCATCTCCCTCCAGCTAATGCTGGTGTTAATGGGGACTGTGCCTTCTCACTTTGGCCATCACAGTAATCTAGCTTGTTTCCCTTCCTCTCATCTGAAAGACAGTCAGCCTATTTTCTCTGTTGCCACCAGAGTTTTTGTTGCAGTTGGAAATCCTTGTACTCTGTTGGTACAGGACACGAGTCCCTCTGCAAAAGCTCCTACCTTTTTTGCCCAAGTGGTGACCAGCTCAGCTCAGGTAGCAGATAGATTGGAGTAAAATTTTGTCATCAGTTATTTGCTGTAGATCCTAAATAAGCCTCAGGGTTTTTTCTGTTTTTCTTTCTTTCTTTTCTTTTTTTTTTTTTCTGTTTTTCTTAAGAAATTCTTTTTTGAATCTGTAAAATGGGTGTAATAACAGCAGCTTACTCGTAGCAAGGTTTTAAAGACTGAATGGGGTCATAGAAAATTGAGAGCACAGTGGCTAGTACTCATTCAGTTACCACGTTCCGAGTTATCTGCTGACAGGTTAGCAGTTTTCTCTCTTCTGGTCTCCTGTCTCACCACCCCCTTGCCCTGTACCTTATGCTCCAACAGAAGATTGTTCCTCTTTAAAGACGCTGTTTTCATGGCTCCGTGTCTCCGTTCATGATGTTCCCTCTGCCAGCCAGAGCCCCCCCCCGTTCCCCCTTTAGCCTGGTCAACATCTACTCCTGTTTCAGGATTCCCTCCAGTGTGTCGCCTCCCATCTGTAATGTTCCCACTTCCTGCTGCTCTCGTTTTTCAGTCCCAAAGTGAGAACACTTGCCATCGTGCTCACTGTATGGAGGGCCTAGACTTCAGTCTTAGCATCTCTCCCTCTTAAGGCTTATTTTGTTGAAGTAGCTACTTCCTCCCCGTCGATGATAAAACTTTTATTCCCCCTATCTGGCACTCTAATATTTGATGACTTTAAAGTATTCTCTGTGTCTCATAAATGTAAAATTATCCCAGAGCTTCTGTCATTCTTTTTCATAATTGGTGTTTGCAAGCACTGTTTCCTGGATAGTGTCTTGATAATTTTGGTTCAGAAACTTTGGTTGTAGTAACGCTACATTGCATAAGAAGCAGCTAGAATTTTTTTTTTTTAATTTTTTTAAAGATTTTGTTTATTTATTTGACAGAGAGAGATACACAGCGAGAGAGAGAACACAAGCAGGGGGAGTGGGAGAGGGAGAAGCAGGCTTCCCGCGGAGCAGGGAGCCCGATGTAGGGCTCGATCCCAGGACTCTGGGATCATGACCTGAGCCGAAGGCAGACGCTTAACGACTGAGCCACCCAGGCGCCACCAGCAGCTAGAATTTTGTGACAGAATATTCATAGACATCCTGTGTGTACTTTATTTGTAGTTATTTATATGTTTTCTAAATAAATCTGGCTTTAACTTGGTGTATTCAAAGACAAACTCACTGTCCCTCACACACATTCTTCTTTCTAGTCCCATTTTTAATGATTGCATTACTGTTCTCCTACATAATTGGCCCTACCCCCTCTCTTCTCCACCTGTCAATCATAGAAATCCTTCAGGGCATCATTCAGATGAGCCTCTTCTTTCCTGATACCAGTGGCTTTAAGGAGGCACATAGTACCTCACCCTGATTTTGAACGTATGAAAGTACCCAGCATAATTCTTCGCGTATAATATGTGCACAGTGAATTTTATTTTTTCTGATAAAACATTAGTATTCTGATTCTTTTGCTTCTTTTATCTTACCATATTATTCTGTATAATTTAGCATTATCAGATAAATTTTCTACAAGTCTTTTCCAAATAAGGTAGCATGTGATTATATATTGTCCTGTATCATTTTTAATGTATGTACATTTTGATCCCTCAAGCAGATCGAGTGCCTTGGGAGCAATGCTTGTTTCTTTGTGTCTCACAGTACCTGGCTAGTGATGGTTACCCAGCAGAGCTCAGTCCTGTTCAGTCACATGCCCTTGTTAAGTAAGATCAGAATACTGCTAGTCATTTTAGGAACCAATGTGAGGAGATTTTTTTTTTTTCTAAGTGTAAGACTATCCATCCCATAGAAAGTGGGAATTTGAGGAATTTAGATTTCTTTGACATTGCTGTCTAATGTCTGAACCTTCTAGATGCTGTACAGGACTCACCTGTGTGATCTGTTGCCACCTAGGCATGACTACACCATACATGGAATGGAGTACCTGTATTCTACGTTTGTAGAATGAATGCTTTAATCTTGACATTTTCCATGAAGCTTTTATTACAGTTTGTTTGGAATGACTGACTACATATAATTAAGGGACCAGAGTGGCTTTATCTGCTCATGTCCCCTGTGTGATGTGGAGTGGCAGACTGAGGGCCCACTGTGAACTCTGTTGCTTTCTGGTGGTAGATCCACAAGTTTTGCAGACTGTCAAGATCAACCACTGTGTTCGTTATTCCACAGACTCCTGATTGGAGTTACTGACGGCTTCCTAAGTTGGTCAGCTAAGATGATTATCTGTATTAAAAAGAACTGTGTTTGAATAACAAGGGGTAGTGCACAACATCTGCTGTTGAATCCTGACTAATATCTGAGAATAGCAAATTGCTATTATTAATTGGTGTTCTTGACATTGTCTCTTTTTCATAGGTGGTATATGATGGACTTTTTGGTACAAATACAAATTCAAAATTGAGAACATTATCCCTGCAGTTTGTGCATCACATTTGTATAACGTAAGTTTTTTTGAACTATTTGTAAAATTTCAAGCTGTTGGAGTGATCAAATGATTCAAGTATTTCTTTCTTACCCAGAAAGAAACCATGTTTGCTCATCTTAAAAAAATTTTAGGTTTTAATAGGTTATTTCAGTTGTGTCTCTAATTATTTTAAGTCATCATCTGAAAAGATACGCTAATAATGAGATTCTTATCTTGCTTTTGTGTATGTGTGCTATTTTTTTAAAGTTGTCCAGAAATCAAGATTAAGCCATTAGGTCCAATGCTTTTGAATGGCCTCACCAAGCTAATCAATGAATATAAAGAAGTAAGTGACTTGTCTTTTAAACACTGTTAACATTTTATATTTTAAAGTATTTTCTGTTACCAATCTTTCTGGTCTGCATGTTTGTTTAGTTAGTTACAGTTTGCTATTGTTCCATCATTTCTTAATCTTTTTACTTGAAGTGGTGTGAATTTCAGAAATTACTGCCATCTTTTGCTTTTTTGTTTTTGGAATTAAGTGTTAAAAATACAGTACGAATTTCGAGGGGTCTTATTGCTTCTTTAAATAACATCTTTTAAAGCAACTGCATTTTATTCTGCTTTTAGGCACTGTGCAAAAATGGAATGGAAAGCATTAAATTTTATTTTATGATTTGTTTCCATATGGATGTTTATTTGGATTTGCTTATATTTAGAAATAGTGTTAATTCTTAAGGGCTGAGTTTTTACCAGTTCAAAATTCTGTAAAAACATGCATTCAGTAAGTTTTTGATTCCTTAAGCTAAGTGGGATGAGGATTCTTTGGAATCCCCTTTGTCCTTGCTGTGTCACTCTTACCATCTTCATTAGTTCAGGTGAATTTGTTAAAGAAAGTAATATTTCAAGAACTCTAGTTAGCATTATTTTCCTAAGTCTTAACTAAACATGAATGCATGTTTGCAGTTGTATAGTAATTAACATTCTGCCAGTTGGAGTTAAAATTGAGTTTGAATCCTAGTTTTGTTCTTTGATGAGTTGCTTAAATTCTTTGGAGCTCTGTTCTTTATTAGAAAAATGAAAATAATACCTCTTCGTTGGATTATTGTGAAGATTAAATGAGATTATACACAAAAATTGTTCAGCACATCGAATGCCCTTTAGTAGGTATTATTATTAGGGAAAAGCTGTTCATTCCTGTACAGTTCCTTTGGGAGCAGTGGTAGGCCTGGCTCTCCTGTCCTTTACTGAATAGTGCTTGCAAGGTTTTTGAGGCCTAGGGAACCTTTCAGAGTTTTTTTAATGGCATACATAGTCTGATGCTTGGGATGGTTGGTAGAAATAAAAATGCTTTTGGGCTTTTAGGGAGAATCTGTATATTTAAAAATAAATTCGAGAGGCCAGATAAACCATAGGTCCCTAATCTCTGTACCTCCTGGAGGTACCTGCAGAACTTCCCAACAGATGAATCTGTAAGTGTGTCCATCAAGGTGTGGAAGAGTGAGTCCTATGTTAATTGTATAAACTTCAACTCACAGAGGTGTTCCTTTTTTTCTGAGTAATCAGACTATTGGTTTTCATAAAACAATATAAAATTCTGTCTGTCTGAGGAGGGAACCTCACTCACTTGATGACTATGATCCCTTTCATTTTTTATAATGGAAGATATGAGGGGAAGCTCTTTATTATCATGCAGAGTTTTAGGTAATCGTTCCCCAGTTTACTGCAGTTTTGGGGGGAGAGATGGAGGATCCTAGTCTGTGCGACCAGTGGTGAATTTTCTGATAAGTTAAGCTGTTTTCCCAGTGCGTTGGTGTTTGCAGGGTACATAGTGTTGAAAATATCCTGAACTTAGCACCAGCTGAGAGAACCCTTTCATATATGGCCTCTGTATTTTCCTTTTGGAGTGAGTTGGGGATGCAAAGTTTTGTTTTGTTTTTCCTTTTAGTAGTGTGATGATTCTGGGTTTGGACTTTTTTTTGTTTGTTTGTTTTGTTAGATGCTAATATCATGTAGTTAGGCAGAGTGAGACCAGGTTTAACAAGGAGTAAAATAATGCATGTAATTGCAGCAAAAAGGTTTTGCCGTTTACTGTATTTTTTGTTTTGTCTGTTTTTTGTTCTTTTTTTTTTTTTTCTTAATTTCAAGGACCCTAAGCTACTGTCAATGGCATATTCAGCTGTTGGAAAACTCTCCAGGTGAGTAAACTCTTCTTCAGTGAGAGATACCCTGTTGGTAAACTAAGACAAATTATGTGGCATTTAATAATGGATGGAGAATAAATTGGTTGTGATTTTGAAAGGAAATGTATTTAATGGCCATGGGTTGTTTAGGAATGTTTTCCTTGTAGAGGGAAAATGATGTGAGACATTCCATTTGAAGATAGATACGTTTCCATATTAAATGGTAGTCTTGAAATGAGATTTTGAACTGGACTGTGTCTTAACGGGTTACTTTTTCTTGCACCCTGGAGACATTTGATTGACCTTAAGTGTTCTTGTGGCTGCTTACCACTAGTCTTTATAACCACAGTCATCAAGGTTTAGCTCTTGACTCTCTTTCCTGATAGTGGTATATTATGATTCTGGGTGGCCCGTTTCCAGAGGTGGATTTTTTTTCTTCTGCTTATGGTATGATTTCCTCCTTCCACTTCCTCCTGGTTTCCTCTTCCTTCCCTGTATTTCAGAGCAGGGAGACTGTGGCACCATGTGGTGCTGCCAGCGTGGCTCAGGGCCCCTACTGGCCTGTGTGGACTGGGTCTTGCTCTTCTGTCTGTGCAGGGAAAGGATCCTTGGGGCTCAGAGGAAAGCTACCCTCAGTCACCTGATACAGCACTTACACGATAGCCTTTAGTTGAAGTAGCAGTTTGGTCTTAATTGTCTGTTTTTCTTGTGTTAAAATCAGAAATGTTAACTGAATGCATGGAATCTTATAAAGGCTCTATCTGGATAGTATGTATTTTAATCATGGGTTACTTATATTAGACAGTTGAAGAACTAAATATTTACTTTTAACAATATTCGGCTCTTTGGCGAGGTAATCTCATGATGCCGACATTATGTTTAGAGATGAAAATGCATTTCAGGAAAATTTGTGTTGAGTTACATTTTCTTCTAACCTCATGGAAATTGATGATCGTAATAATGGTCTTCTATTCTCTTACAGTCGAATGCCCCATTTATTCACCAAGGATATAGCTCTTGTGCAGCAGCTTTTTGAAGCCCTTTGCAAGGTAGGGAAACACCCAGCAAGTTTATGCTTTCCGCTTGGATGCTGACCTGGAAACCCAGCAGGGAGGGAAACGCTATTTTTATTATATTTATAGGAAGAGCCTGAGACTCGGCTTGCTATTCAAGAAGCACTGTCTATGATGGTGGGAGCTTATAGTACTTTGGAGGGAGCACAGCGAACTCTCATGGAGGCACTTGTGGCTTCGTACTTAATAAAGGTGGGTCCAGCTATGTGAACTGCGATGATTGGTGATACAGTGTACATTTTTAAGAACAGAATTGGAATTGCTTTTTTTCCTTAATGATCTTGACAATTAAGAAGAATATTTGCTTTCACTTGGACTGTGATTTATTATTTTTAAAGATTTTATTTATTTGAGAGAGCGGCAGAGGGAGGGCAGAGGGAAAAGCAGACTCCCTGCTGCTGAGCAGGGAGCCCGATGTGGGACTTGATCCCAGGACGCTGGGATCGTGACCTGAGCCGAAGGTAGGTGCTTAACAACTGAGCCACCCAGGCGGCCCAGGACTGTGATTTCTGATTGATTTTTAATTCTTCATGATGGGAATCTGATTTTAGGGGAGAAGGAGTGGTGATATTCTCAGAGGTTTTATGTTTAAAGCCTTTCATGTTGGGAAACTGTTCTTGATGTCGTGTCCTCCAAGTTGGAAGTCTTTTGTCTTACTTGGTAGCTGAACACTACAGTCCTTTGGGATGGAGTTCTATAGCCAACACTGGGGGAAAAGCAGAAGGAAAGAAAGACAAATTTTATACCTTAAAATCGAGTCTATAGGAAGTAAGCCAGTACTATCATACATAGTCTTCTTCCTTCTAGTCCTCTTTATTTGGCTGTCATGGGATTTTATAGGAAATTTTGAGTATCTATATATACACATATGTATATGTAATATATAGTATACAATATAAAATAATATGGACTTGGTATAGTCAGTTCTTTGTCCTCCATTTCTAGGAGTAGAAAGAGGGAGATTAGAAGAGGGAATGATGTCAAAAAGTATTGGTGTGATTAATATATATTGTGTCTTACTGAAATTTGGCTGGCATATTTAATACATTGCTATCGAGGGAATTACTGAAGGTTCAGAAAGGTATCTGGTTTCTATTGAAATGTGACAGGATTATTATGTACACTCAGGAACATTACTACTGTATATTGAGTTCCACTGTCGGATGCTCTTGTACATGGTTCATAGTCCTATATTGTGGACAAAGAAGTGTGGGCTTATTTGGAAGCTCATTAGAATAGAACACTTAAATCTTTCCCTAGGTAATCGTATAAGGATGTATGATGCATGTATAATGCATGTGGGTTCTGGTTATACGTATGCAGATCAAATCATGCAGCAATGTTACTAAACCGAAGCTAGTTGGTGTTCTTTTCTCAGACTACATTTAAAGCAACCAGACTCTAGGCTAAATCATATGAACTAGTCCTTAGTATCACTGCTCTTGAATTGTAGCTCAAGGAATGCTTAAAGAGCAAGAATACCTGAATGAATAGGACCATTATCTGTTTCTTAATATCACTCTCATCTCACTATGTTAGGTTTGTGACTAGGAGAATGACCTGGGGGAAAGGTACATGAGAATAAGGCTTTTCAGAATAAAGGTTCTTCAGCTGCTTCTCTCATTGAACTTTGTATTCGTAGATTTGTTCATTATTCTGTTTAGGTGAATTGAATATATTCATGTAGTTGAAACTCCTTCGGAGTCAGTTTTAACTAAAGCTGATCTGAAAAACTTGGAGATGAATTTGCTTCACATTTATAGAGATTCCAAGTAACCTCTGTTTGTGTTCCCTGCCAAATATCTTAATTTCATTCATGTGACTGACAGTTTGAGGGTTGGGGAAGCAGAGATGACGGCGAGAAAACTGTTCACAGTGACTGTGGTCCCAAAGTTGGGCGGAGGATGTGCGTGTACAGGGACATTCTCTGGCTATGGTCTTTGTGGGTCTTCCTGCTTTACTTGGAGGGTCCTTTTTTAGCTCATAAAAGTACTTTTTAAGTGATGCCGCTGTCCAAAAGACTTTTAAACAACTTGATTAAAGATTTTCAACAAATGATTTGTCTTCATTTTATTTACTTAGATATAGTTATTAAAAAACCTTCATTTTTAATTGTTTACAATTAAGATGACTTATCTTGACTGGAATGAGCTGTTGGTAATTGGATTCTTCTTTCTTCTTCTTTTTTTAAAATCTGTTATGTGTTTGTGTGTGCGTGTATTTATGTGTTAAATAGCCTGAAGTTCAAGTTCGACAGGTGGCTGTGAAATTTGCTAGCACGGTGTTTCCCTCAGATCATATACCTTCCAGATATTTGCTCTTACTAGCTGCAGGAGATCCGTAAGTTTCAAAAGGTGTTAATTTGAATTTGGGTTTATTTTAAATTATTTGAGAATTACTAAAATTTATATTGTTTTCAGTGTTGCTCTATGGAATTTGGAAGCAGTTTATTAAAGAGTTAAAAATATGGCCCTTGATATGATACAGACCTGTAGTTATACCCTATCTTCTTTTTTTTCTGTGGGTAAACTTAAAAGATGCAAGCCACGTAACTCTTCAAATTTCAAGAAATTTCCAAAAAGAAGTAGTTTCTTAAAATGTATTTTATGACTCTTTGCTTAGATAGCTAAGAATATATTTAAGACATTTTCTCAGATCCCCCGTTGTCAAATAAAATGACTGTTCTTAATCATCACATGATCATTCTATCATTGCAATTTATATTTTATTCCTATTTGTCTTTCTGTAAGACGGGAAGAAGTTCATGGAGAAGCACAGCGAGTATTAAGGTGTCTTCCTGGTAGAAACAGAAAAGAAAGTGCTTCTAAGCAGATGCCTTCTTTCCCGGAAATGGTGTATTATATTCACGAAAAGGTATGGCATTTAACTTCAGATAGTTAGTTTGGGTCATATAATGAATCATGAAAATAAACATGTATTTTTTTAGGTGACACATTTAAAATGTTATCACTAAATGTTGAATATTAGTAAGGTTTCTAACAATGTTAATATTTATAATGAGAGGACGAAAATACAAAATGAAGAGAAAAATGTAACTCTCAAAATTGATCTGTTTTGCCCCAATCTGAATTACTTAAATTCCTTTTATGCTTGTCAACATTTTGGCTGGGTTTAAAAATTTTCTCCTTGGTATGACATGCTTAAAAATATCTTTTTTTTTTTTTTTTTTTTGTATTTTTAAGGATATTATTTGGAAACCATAAATTTAAGAATGCTTCAGGGAACAGTTCAGATTTTTTCCATTGTGATCATAAGAGAACATCACGTCTGCTTTTGCAAGCCTTGTGTGTGTGTGTGTGGTTCTCTCTGCTGGTGGATCAGACCAAGAGTATTGGCTGTCGTGACCCCCAGTCCTGATCCTGTCCCACTTTTTACGTCAGTGTTTCTTTGAGTATGCTGGTGGTCCTGGCTTTTTATTTAGACAGACATCTTAAGGGAGTTGGAGGTCAGGACTAAGTAGTCATGATTTTTTTCTCTGAGGCACAGTCATATTTGTGGTCAGAAGATGTTTTTGTGCTCATCTTTTCCTCCTGCCTCCATTAGTAATGAAAGTAACTGGCCTGCAGTGGCCTGAGGTGACTGTTCGTAGATGCCTGGAGCAGGTTTCTTCTTTTCTTTCTTTCTTTCTTTCTTTTCTCTCTTTTCTTTCTTTCTTTCTTTTTTCTTTCTTAAGATTTATTTATTTATTTGAGAGAAAGAGTGCGTGCACGCATGTGAGGGGCAAGGGCAGAGGGAGAGAGAATCTCAAGCAGACTCCCCGCTGAGCACAGAGCCTGACACAGGGCTCAGTTTTGCGACCCAGAGGTCATGACCTGAGCTGAAACCAAGAGTCAGATGCTCAACTGACTGAACCACCCAGGTGCCCTGAGCAGGTTTATTCTTTTTAAATAAGCCAGTAAAAACAGGAAGAAGAAAAGACACCACACCTATCATTTAGGGTTTGAGGGACATGTGCAAATCAGCATGATTGATGGAAAAATGCTTTGATTTAGGAAAAAACAGTAGCAAACAATAATGTAGTTAGAAATACAGTTATTTTTGAATTGAGGAAGGGCACACGTGCTCCATGTTTTAGTAATTGTGTTTGTTTTTGGCTTATTTTTATTAGGCTTCCCATCGAATGAAAACTCCAGCTAAGTACATGACTGGGACTACTGTCCTTCCATTTAACCCAGCAGCCTTTGGAGAGGTAGGACTTGGACCTATTTCCATTTTGCTCTCTCTAAACGTTCTAAAAGATAATGTCACACCCAAAGAGATGTCTGAATTTTTTTGTGTTCTAGATAAACCCATATTGTGATGTCATTGTCCTTCACCAGATTGTTTATTAGAAAAACAGTGTTGGGTAATTGGTATTATTTCAGTTCGTAGTGGAGTCTGTAAATATATTTATCTCAGTGAGATTCTTTGTGGAAGAATTGGGTGCTCTGCATTGATTACTATTGTGATTTTACAGCAAATTAGATTTGAATTTTAAAGCCAGTGCTATGTTGAGGTTGTTTGGATTATCTGTTGTTTAGGTCATTGACTTGCACTAATTAAATGGAGGTAATCTTGTTCAGAGTAAGATACCCACAGTGGAATTGCTGCCTATTTTAGCTGTCAAAGAAAGAGCTTCAGGAGGACTCCTGGGTAGCCAGTTTATATCAGAAGTTTTTTTTTTTTTTTTTTAAGATTTTATTTATTTATTTGAGAGAGAGAGCATGAGAGGGGGGGAGGGGGGGAGGGTCAGAGGGAGAAGCAGACTCCCTGCTGAGCAGGGAGCCGATGCGGGACTTGATCCAGGGACTCCAGGATCATGACCTGAGCCGAAGGCAGTCGCTTAACCACCTGAGCCACCCAGGCGCCCCTATATCAGAAGTTTTTATGGTGTTGTCTCTACTCTTATGATTTGAACCCATTTTCTCAAATTCTTATGCTAGTGGAGATTAAATACAACTGGAGTTCCACAGGAATAGATGATTTGCCCCAGGTTTCTGCTCACTCTCCCCTCCCCCCCCAGCTTTCAAAAATAACAATTTTTATTGTAATTGTTTAGACTTTTTCTTTTAATCTTTAAAAAGATTTATTTATTTATTAGAGCAAGAGTGCGAGCATGCGAGTGGGGGAGGCGCAGAGGGCGAGAATCTCAAGCAGACTCCCCGCTGAGCGTGGAGCCAGTCGCAGGGCTGTCTCACAACTCATGAGATCATGACCTGAGCTGAGATCACGAGTCGGAGGCTTTAACTGGCTGAACCACCCAGGCGTCCCTGTAATTATTAGTTTAGACCTTAAAAGTTGAGTTTGCATTTTAACTCCATTAAACTCCACTAAAAACACTCTGGATTTATAAAAGCTTGTTATGTAAGTTGTGCTCCATTATGGTAATTTCAGTTAACGTACTGAGTCATGTTTTCCAGCTTTCGTGAGGATTGTTGAACAGCTTTATGAAGGGGGGGGTGGGGGAATGAAAATGGGAAACTGTCATTTTGAAGAGTTCCCTCCCATACTGATTTCTTGAGGAGCTTGTCTGGTATTCTTCTTCCTGCTGCTTTTAGATAGTCCTGTACTTGCGCATGTGCCTAGCGCACAGTGCGGGAGTGGTGCCCACCTCCCAGAGTCTGGCTGATATGCAGGACCACGCCCCAGCCATTGGACGCTACATACGGACCTTGCTGTCAGGCGGCCAGGCGACATCCTCATCATCTTCTTCCAAGAGTGGAGAAACCCACCCTGTTCAGATCTACATCGGCCTGCTTCAGCAGCTGTTGGCAGGTGTTGGAGGTAGGAGGTCGTGCTGCTGAGGAGGAAGTTAAGGCACTTAAGCAGAAATCTCATTTTAAACTCAGCTGAGAATTTATAGCAAAATTATTTTCTCCCTTCACTACTGTAACTGAACATGAGTCTTTGCTTCTTTTCCAAACTTACTTGATTCATCCTTGATACACTCTTACTCTTCCCGGAAAGAAATGCTAACAGTAGATAATGTTTTTACTTTGGAAGTGGGTGCGAAGAACAGGGCATCTTTTTATAGATACGTAGTCTATAAATTTGCTGTTTTGGATCACATACTGTATTTATGTTGGTTTTTGTTTCATAGAACTGGGGAATGCTTCGTAAAGCAGTAGCCTTATACTTTATTTGTCAGAGAGAGAGGGAGAGAGCACAAGCAGGGGGAGCTGCAGGGAGAGGGAGAAGCAGGCTCCCTGCCAAGCTAGGAGCCTGATGGTGGGGCTCAATCCCAGGACCCTGGGATCATGATCTGAGCTGAAGGCAGACGCTTAACCGACTGAGCCACCCAGGCGTCCCAGTAGCTTATACTTTAAAGGAATTTAGTGAGCCCTGTGTGTTTATCACTTTTCTTAAAGCTAAAATGGTTCTGAATTCTTTCTTATTTAGGTTTGCCAGTCATGTACTGTCTATTGGAAGCTGTCTCCGTGTATCCAGAAAAACTGGCTACCAAATTTGTAGACAAAACAGAATGGATAAAGGTACATCTTATGCATGTATATTTCTCTTTGATTCTGTATATTTTACACTTTAGTCTTATAATTTCGTCTTCCTTACTAGTGTTCCTATGACCTTTCCTGCCTTTGGGTCGTTTTGAAAACTCTTTTTATCAGACACTTCCTGGGAAGCATGGTAGATCAGTGTATCTCAACAATCCATCTAGGTGAGAGTGAGAGAAGAATTGAGAATCATATAAGTAAAAAAAATATATATGTATTTTCTGTTTCGAAAGTTAAGAAAATAGATTTGTGTAGCTTAAATAAAATATATGTAAAATATCTCCTTTCTGTAACTCTCTCCCACCTACCCAAATCTCTCAACTTCCTGCCCCTTCCTCTCTCACCTGACAGACATATGTAGGTCATCGCTTATTTCTCTGTGGTGTGCTTTCTAGAGTTTATTTATGCCTATACACACAAATAAAAATAAGCATTTTTAATTTTTCTTCCTTCTTTTACACAAAAGGTACATAGTTTCCACAGTTGTATTGTTTCAAGTGTTTATTTAAATTCTAGTTAGTTAACATATAGTATAATTTTATTAAGTTATTTAACTTCTCACACTGTTTTGTGCCTTACCTCTTTCACTTAACATTAGAATGTGGAGGTATTCTGTAGAACTAGAGAGGGAACATCCTCTTTAACAGCTTCATTTTTTCCATTGTATGACTATGCCGTGATTTATTCTAGAACCTCACTGATAGTCATTTAGGTTGCTTCCACTCTGCTGCAGTGAACAGTCCATCATTTTGAATATAAGGAAGTCTGTTTTTTAGATGGATTCCCCAGAAGTGGAATTGAGGACATAGACTTTTGCAGTTCTTATTGATAGTCCACATCCTCTGGTACCAATTTACACTCCCACCAGCCATGTAGGAGAGTGTTCCTGTCTCATGGTCACACCAAAAGTGTTGCCAGGTTTAGCGAATAAAAATACAAGATTCTCGGGGCGCCTGAGTGGCTCAGTCGTTAAGCGTCTGCCTTCGGCTCAGGTCATGATCCCAGGGTCCTGGGATCGAGCCCCGCATCGGGCTCCCTG